TTGTATCTACATACAACTCCCAGATCATTAAGCTGACAACTCTTTTGTCTTTACACATCTTATGTGTTAGCTTAACATGCCTCTAAAACTTATCTCCTTGAGTGTACTCAACTAAAGATAAATTTTAGTTAAGTTAAACACATCATTCAGAAATATCAAATATTTCATAGTGTCAAACATATCCCTAATAGACCAACCTTGAGTGTACTCAACAAGTTAAGGTCGATTTAGGATTCTCGTTTTTCACTATAATGATGGAAAACAAATAATACTAACTTAATAATTTTTAACAAGGGATTTAATGTGCAATGGTCTCATCAAGCAAATATATATATATATATAATAGTATGGATGATTATGGACTTGTTCTATCTAGTTTTCCCGAGCCAAAAAGAAAACTAGTTGGCCAATTTCTAAGGGGTACAGTATTGGACCAATACCAATACACCATCTCCATGGTGTCCACCTCTTCTTGCGCCTCCAATTAGCCGAACTTGCAACATGTATCATATACTAGTTGGCACGCAGGCCTAAAAGAAATCGGACCCACAGGCCCATAATAATAATAATAATAACGGACTCGTGGTCCAATATTTAATAAGGAGCTCGCAGGCCCACAACAACAATAAGAAGTAAATCAACCATTCAACACATCCAAATGGTCGAGTCCATAATCATCCACAAACATTCATCACATAAATGTTTCCTATGTATAATATCTAATATTATATGCAATGTCTCATAAATCTAGCAATTATAGTCGTCAAAATTAAATCAAAATTTTGGGATCGAGATAATTGAACAATTAATTAATCATATTAATTAATTAATTTAATTGACGGGCCAATTTAATTAAAATCTAATTTTAACTAAATATCGAATTAGAGTCCAACTCTAAATCCATAACTATTGGGTGAAGTAATTTAATCAAAATCGAATTTTAATTAATTATTAAATTAGAGTCATACTCTAAGTACTAATTTGCATAGGGAAATGGTGCTAATTCAAAACAAAATTTAATTAATTTAATATTAGAGTCCAACTCTAATAAAATTGAATTAATATTTTAATTTAGGATAAAATTCCCAAACATAATAAAATTCAATTAAGGGTCAAAGTAAATATTTAAGTTAAAATCTAATTTTAACAAAAATATAAAAGTCGTCAAATTTTTAAATAAATTTTTAATTCTGGGTCAAAATTAGGGTATGGGTCAAACCCAGTTTAAAACTCATTTTTAAAATAATTCAAAATTCAAAATCAAAACCCTTTTTGAAAATTTACAAAATTTACCCAAATTGAAATTAACAGCAGACCTTCCAAAATCAAAATTTACAGAACAGGTCCCTGATTTAAAAATTGCAAATTGACCCCTTTTTTGTAATTGCAACCAGGGGCCCCTAATTACATTAATTGCAACAGAGGCCCCCGTCTCCACCAAAACCCTAAACCTAAAAAAAAAAAAAAAAAAAATTTTTATTTCTTTCTGGGGCGGCGCCGCCCGTCTGAAATAGCCAGCAGCGCATCGCGCTGCCAGTTGCAGAGCGGGAGGCACTGCAGGTTGTAGCGTCGGCAAGCGCTGTTGCGCCTGCCGTCGGCACGTGGCGGCACCGCCCACCTCACGACCCAAATTTTTTTTTTTCAAGAACAGATCCAAAAATACCCAAAAAAAAATTAAAACTATATTTGCTAGATTTAAGAATGAACGTGATTAAACTAATATTTAATTTAATCAACACGTTAAACAGTTCCTAACAAATACAAACCTGGCTTTGATACCACTGTTTGGAATTTACTTAAACATGCACAGCGGAATTTAACAAATTTCAATTCCCATTCTGGATTCAACTTTGTATTTAGATAAAAATTGTGATAAGAAATATACATTTTCTTGTAATTTGCAAACTCCTTCGCGTTATTCCTTTCCAGCAGCTTGAATCTGCCTCCCACAGTTGTCCAATTGTCCAGCCTCCAATGAAATCCACACAGAAAATAGACTGCAACTGCTAGGGTTTCTCATCTTGTGCTAACAAGAATTATGAAAACTCTTTGGATCTAAAACCCTAGCCATGTATTTATATAAACCCAAATGGACTTGGTCCGGTCCGGTCCATTATTTAATTAATCCATTTAATTAAATCCGGTCCGTGAATTAATTAATCCAATTAATTAATTCGGAGTTATAAATAACCAATCCAATTAATTAATTTATCTAACGATTATTAAATTAATTAATTGTCAATTTGCAATATTCCAACTCTCTTTTTTGTGCGACCCATCAGGTTTCCGACCACGATACCTAGCGACGTGAAATATTATTTTGATCTAATCAAAACTGATAAATTAAACAAATTCGTTCGTTTACCATGAAACTATTATCCATTCGTCAATACGATCCGATCAATTACGAGATATGAAATTGTGTCAATCTCGATCATTGATCATATCTTTCACTACACTATTAAGTCAATATAAATCCAAAACTCCTTTTCGACTTATGAGTACACCTTGGCCAA